GGAGAGAGAGAGAGAGAGAGAGACAGACAGAGACAGAGAGAGAGAGAGAGAGACAGAGAGAGAGAGAGAGAGAGAGAGAGAGAGAGAGAGGAGAGAGAGAGAGAGAGAGAGAGAGAGAGAGAGAGAGAGAGAGAAAGAGACAGACAAACATCCCTTGAATACACCCATGGTCAGAAATTGAGTAATAGTATTTCCTTTAAATTCCTCTTGGGCTCCCTCTGTCGCCTGTCTGTCTGCGTGTCTGTCTGTCTGATTGTCTTTCTTGCTTTCTCTCTCTCTCGGTTTTCATTTGCTTTAATTCGCTCTTTCTCTCTCTTTCCCCTCTCTCTCTCTCTTACTCTTTCTCTTTCTCTCTCTCTCTCTCTCTCTTCTCTCTCTCTCTCTCTCTCTCTCTCTCTCTCTCCTCTCTCTCTCTCTCTCTCTCTCTCTCTCTCTTCTCTCTCTCTCTCCTTAGTGCCTCCCCCTCACTTCCTCCCTCTTTTTCTATCTACCCCTCGCCTTCTCCCTCTTCCTTATCATCTCCTTATCCCTCCCCTTCCTCCTTCCCCTCTCCCTCTCCCTCTTTCACCCTCAAATAAACCAATAAGGCTGAAAACCGCATTCAAAAGACCAGGATTTTAACCCTTAGTGTCATACCTTATCTTATTACAACATTTACTTCCCGTCTTATGTTATTTTATGTTTTATTTTTTTTATATTTCGATGTTTCATATCTTTATCTTTTTTATCTTTATCGTTTTTATTTCTATATTTTATTTTTCTATCTTCTATATTTCTATCTTTTATATTTTTTATCGTTTTTATTTTTATATATTATTTTTCTATGTTTACATTTCCATATATGCTCATCGTTTATATTTCTATTCTCTATCTCTATTTTTCTATTTCTATGTTTCTATTATTATATTTATCTATTCTATATTTCTAATGTCTATATTTCTTATCGTTTATATTTTTATTTTCTATATTTCTATCAATTTTCTATCTTCTATATTTCTATCTATTTTTCTATCTTCTATATTTCTATTTTCTGTATTTCTATATTTTATTTTTTCTATCTTCTATGTTTCTATCTTTTATTTTTCTATCTTCTGTATTTTTATTTGCTATACTTCTATCTTTTATCTTTCTATCGTTTATGTCATTTATCGTTTACATTTCATCCATTAATTCTCCATCATTATACTTATCATCTTGTATATGTTTATCTTTTACACATTTCTTATAATTCATTTATTATTATATATCACATTTATCTTTTTTATCATTTATCTTATTATCATGTATTATCAAATTTATCTTTTTTAGTCATCTATCTTTTTATTATATATTAAAATATCTATATTTTTTTTGTCATTTATCTTATTATTATATATTATCATATTTATCTTTTTTTGTCATTTATCTTATTATCATATATTATCATATCTATCTTTTTTCTTGTTATTTATCTTATTATCATGTATTATCATATTTATTTTTTTGTCATTTATCTTATTATCACATGTTATCATATCTATCTTTTTTGTCATTTATCATATTACTATATATCATCATATTATCTTTTTTGTCATATATCTTACTATCATATATCATATCTATCTTTTTTTGTCATTTATGTTATTATTATATGTTATTATATCTATCTTTTTTGTCATTTATCTTATTTTTAGATATTATCATATTTATCTTTCATTTTGCCATTTATCTTATTATTATATATTATATCTTTTTTGTCATTTATCTTATTACTATATATTATCATATCTATATTTTTTGGTCATTTATCTTATTACTATATATTATCATATTTACCTTTTTATCCCACGCTGTCTGGATGCCCCGCCCACACCCGGAATCAGCATCACTTTGGGCGTGGCATTTTCCATGTCTTCTACGCCTTCTCGAACGCCCCTAAGGAACATAGGCCGCCCATAAGTAGGTGGGGCGTGACTTAGTAACTTTAGAAGTGTGTGTGTGGGGGGGGAGGGAGGGGGAGGAGTTGTGTGGGGGGGTGGGAGGAGGGGTGAAGGAGGGTTGTGTGGGGGGTGAAGGGGGTGAGGGGTGGGGGGTAGGGTGGATGTGGGGGTGGGGGTGAGGGGTGGATGTGTACGTGTTGTGTGTGGCGTGTGTGTGTGTTTACGATGTGTGAGCGCATTAGTTACCTGTCCTTCCCATGCGAGTTGCCAATTTTCATTATTTTTCGTTTCCTTCCCTATTTTCCAAACGACACCCAATTTCACATTTATCTCAGTTTTACCTATTCCACCCTCATATAATCATCAAAAATCATCACTAAATTCCCGAACTGGAAACCTTAACACCGATTTTCAAAAATGGCGCCAAACCTTCCCCTTCAGTTCACATTACGTCATTTTGGAATTCCCGGATGTAGCTTAACTACTCATGAGGTATTTCTAATTTGCATACCGGGTGTGTAACTAGTTTTTAATTGGTATTTACATGTCGACATACGGGTATTCTGTGTACACAGGTCTGCGTATATGTATGAAAGGAGAAGTACATACACGTCCACATAGATCTCTCACATGGATATATTTCTCTCTCAGACTCTCTCTGTCTCTGACCCTGTCTCTCTCTCTCTCTCTCTCTCTCTCTCTCTCTCTCTCTCTCTCTCTCTCTCTCTCTCTCTCTCTCTCCTCTCTCTCTCTCTCTCTCTCTCTCTCTCTTTCGATCTCTCTCTCACTCACATATATATGTACATTTGTGTGTGTGCACACATACACGCACACGCATATATTATATATATATATATATATATATATATATTATATATATATATATATATATATATATACATAATGTATGCATACATACATACTTACACACACATACACACACACACACACATATATATATATATATAATATATATATATATATATATATATATTATATATATATATATATATGTATGCATATATCGCTTAGAAATATTAAGATACACGCATACTTATATATACATATACATACACACACACACACACACACACACACACACACACACACACACACACATATATATATATATATATATATATATATATATATATATATATATATATAATTGTACATAAATATATATGTGTGTGTGTAGACAACATATTTATGTGTATGTGTATATACAAGTATGCGTATATCTTAATATTCTAAGTATATGTGTATCAACGTACATACATTTCCATTAATGTAGAACAACGAACCGCCAAACGTCGACTTTCATCTCTCTCTCTTCCCCGCCTTAATTTTCTCCGAAGCACCTCGTCCTTTCTCCCCTCGATCACCCAGCTTCCCTTGTTTCTCCCTTTTACGAAAGTTTCCCCTCATCAAGATCCCTTAATGACGACAAAGAAAACGGGAATCGAAGCGTCAAATCCGATGGCATTTTTAAACTCTTTTACTGATGACTTGCGCGATCTAATCCTCCTGTCTTCCTATTGGATCCTCCTCCTCCGCTGCCAGAAGTTTCCTTGGTCGTTAGTGAATGCTTTTAGAGAAAAAAAAGAAAAGAAAAAAAAGAGACAAAAAAGGAATAAAAAAAGCGGGAAGTTTGATAATAGCATCAGAGTTGAAGTTATAAACAAGGATGTTTTCGATGAAATGTCATGAAAAATATTGAGTGGATTTTCTGTTAATTGAAGGGAAGAACAAGACTGTTTACGTCGAAGCTGCTTCTCAAGGGCGTTGCCAAGGGCGCGGCTGGACGAGCAAAGCGATTTATTTTTCCGTATTGTTGAAATATAGAGTTCTATCTTATTATATATATATATATATATATATAATATTATATATATATATATATATATATATATATATATTCATATATATGTATGTATACGTGTATACATGCATACATACATATGTATATACCACTGCACTGGCCAGTTCCCTGGGGACCCATAGCCCAAACCTCATATATCTATCTATCTATCTATCTATCTATCTATCTATATACATATATATATTATATATATATATATATATATATATATATGATTATATTACATTATCACTTTATTATCATAATAATTATTGTTATCATTATATTATATCATAGTCCCAGTTGCATTGTAAGTGAGGCATACACACACACACACACACACACACACACACACACACACACACACACACACACACACACACACACACACACACATATATATATATATATATATATATATATATTATATATATATATATATATATATATGCCTACATGCGTACGTACTTCGTATCTCTTTTGTATTGTATTTCTTCCAATCTATATCAAATGGTGCGTGATAACAAATACAAAAAAATACATAAATATATCAAAGCAAGTACATTCACCTTTTAAATTTGCGTATAAAAACAATTACAAGTTTCCTCTTATATAATTTTTATTGTAATTTCCATTATGACGTCTTCTCAAAATTCAAAGAATACATTTTTCATATCTAATTTTTTTTTCTCACACTTTTCTTACCCTTTTTTCTGAACTTTCACATTATATTATTTATTTTCTTTTCTTATTTATTACATTTCTCTTTGAGGTGAAAAAATGATAAATTTGAATTCAGTTTATTCCAATGGCAGTACAGATTCGAAACAAAAATAAACAAAGATAAGATGAAGACGAAGAAAGTGATGATAACGTAGAGGGTAAAGAAAAGGGAAAGAAGGAGAAATGTAAAAATAGAAAAAGAAAGAAACGAAGAAGAAAAGAAAATACCAATTATCTTTCCAGAAAAAAGGAAAGGAATAAAAATATTACAAATTCCAACATTTTAGAGAGAGAGAGAGAGAGAGAGAGAGAGAGAGAGAAGAGAGAGAGAGAGAGAGAGAGAGAGAGAGAGAGAGAGAGAGAGAGAGAGAGTAGAGAGAGAGAGAGAGAGAGAAAGAAGAGAGAGAGAGAAATAAAGAGAAGAGAGAAGAGAGAGAGAGAGATAATAAAGAGAAGAGAGATAGAGAAAAAGAGAGAAAGAAGAGAAAGAAGACAGGAGAAAGTCAACGAAAGCCAAGGAAATAGAAAGAGAAAAAGGAATAAAAATAAAAAGAAAACAAGAATAGAAAAAAAACAGCCAGGGAAATAGAAAGAGGAAAAGGAATAAAAAGAAAAAGAAAACAAGAAAGAACAATAAAAAACACAGAAAGAAAAAAAGACAAAAAATCACATTCCTTATGAAACTACATCATTTTTTAACCGGATCTGCCACACCCGGCGATCCCTCTGGCGGCTCCGTTGACAGCGTGCTGGAAAACTCCCTTGAAAAAGTTCCCAAAATCCCGCTTCTCCTGTTTCCTGCAACGAAAAAAAGGGATTTAGGGATTAGCACACAAACATAGACATTAACAAAGACATAGACACTAACATTAACATAAACATAGACACATTAACATAAACATAGACACTAACATTAACACAAACATAGACATTAACATAAACATAGACACTAACATAAACATAGACATTAACATAAACATAGACACTAACATAAACATAGACACTAGCATAGACATTAACATAAACATAGACACTAACATAAACATAGACATAACATAAACATAACAAACAAACATAGACACTAACACAAAACATTAACATAAACATAGACACTAACATTAACACAAACATTGACACTAACATAAACATAGACACTAACATAAACATACACGCTAACATACAAACATAGACACTAACACGCAAACATACACACAAAACACACTAAACAACCACACACACACCTGAAAAATCACACAAACAAACAAAGACAAACCCCCCTAAAACACACACACACAAACAAACACACCCTAAAAACATACACAAACACTCACAAACAAAAAACACAAAACACACCCTAAAACACACAAACAACACACCCCTAAAACACACACAAACAAACAAACAACACACCCTAAAAACATACACAAAAACACACAAACAAACAAACACAAACACACACACTAACAAACAAACACACACCCCTAAAACACACAAACAAACACACCCTAAAAAACACACAAAAAACACACACAAAACACTCACAACACACACACACTACAAACAAACACAAACACCCAACAACACACAAACACTCACAAACAAACACACCCCTAAAACACACACAAACAAACACACCACACAAACAAAACACACACAAAAACACCACAAACGCTCACAAACATACACACACAAACAAACAAACAAAACATATAAACTTACTTCTTCTCCACAATGGAAATATCAGCACACATAGTGGCAGTCGTCGACACACAGGGCTCAGAAACATCCTCGGGACAGAAATTCTGAATCAGCATCCACTGTGAGAAAAAGCAATAAATAATAAATGAAAAAAATAAAAGATAAACAACAACAGATAAAAAAATGATAAAACAGCAATAAAAAAACATAAACAAATAAAAAACACACAATAAAATAGCAATAACTAAAAAAAATCAAGATAAAAAACTATAGATAATACAACAACAAACAAAAACAAACAATACAACAACAACAAACAACACAAAAACAAACAAACAAACAAACAAACACAAAAGAAACGACAAAAAAAAACAAACAAACAACACAAAACAAAACAACACAACAAACAAACAAAACAAATAAACCAACAAACAACGTACCAAGAGCGTGCACCTCTCACAGGTCACATCCTGAGGGACCTCCAAGGGAATCGTGTAGTCATCAGTCTTCGGGATCTTAGCCAGGTCGAACTTCTTGCCCATACCTCCGGCGATGTTCAGGGGCATCCTGGTGGATAGGTGGATGGGTGAGCAGTGGATGGGTGGATGGGTGGAGAGGGTGAGGAGGTGGATAGGGGGATAGGAAGAGGTTGATGGGTGGAGGAGGTGGATAGGTGGATGGGTGAATTAGGGGAGAGGTATAGGTGGAGGTGGATAGGTGAGGGGTAAGTTAGGGGAGAGGTATAGGTGGAGGTGGGGAGGTGGATAGGTGGATGGGTGAGGAGGTGAGTTAGGGGAGAGGTATAGGTGGATGGATAGGGGAGAGGTATAGGTGGAGGTGGATGGTGAGGAGGTGGTGAGTTGGGGATAGGTGGATGGGTGAATTAGGGGAGAGGTATAGGTGGAGGTGGATAGGTGGATGAGTGAGGAGGTGGATTGATGGGTGAGGAAGTGGAGGTTGATAGATGGAGGTAGATGGGTGAGGAGGTGGATAGGTGAGTTATGGGAGAGGTATAGGTGGATGGGTGAACAGGTGGATGAGTGAGTTGGGGGATAGGTGTGTTGGGGGAGAGGTGGGGAGGTGGACAGGTGAGATGGTGAATAGGTGGGGTGAGTTAGTGGATAGGTGGAGGTGGATAAGTGAGTAGGTGGATAGTTGAGTTTGGTGGATAGGCAGAGTGGAAGTGGATAGACGAGTAAGTAGATGGGTCAGTTGGTGGATAAGTATATAGGAGTTGATGGATAACTAAATATGTGACTAGGTGGAGGTGGATAGGTGAGTAGACGGATAACTAATCAA